TGAACAGAGTTGTACAACACCTGCTGAGGCATTACATCAAGCCCAGCCAGGATGACTGGGATGAGAAGTTGCCTCTCATCGCCAGCCTGTACAACAACGCTGTACATAGCAGTACCGGCGTTAGTCCTAATCAGCTACACTTGGGATGGAAGCCTAGATCAGCTCTGGACTTCCTCCTGCCTGAAAATCGACCCTCTGCAACTCCAGGCACACTTGAGTATGGTGTGCAGTATGAAAAGTTGCTACAGCAAGTTGTCGAACACATCAAGAAAGCTCAGCAAGCAATGATTGCTTCTGAGAACAAACATCGTCGGCAGTCCTCATTTCAGGTAGGGGAACGTGTCTGGGTCAAGGCTAGTGAGTTAGGACAGGAATTCGGAATCTCTCGCAAACTAATGCCTCAGTATTTTGGTCCATGGGAAGTCCTGGATATAGTTGGGGATGAGATGGATGGTCCTACCTATGTTATCCGTATCCCTGGTCACTTAAGCACTCACCCTGTCTTTCATGCCTCAAAGCTTGCACCTTTCGCTGAGACAGATCAATTCCCTTCAAGGAGATCGATGCTTCCCCCAACCATGGATGGTCAAGTGGACATCGACGACATTGTGGATCACAAAGATCTGCCTGTTCCAAAGCCACTGGGTAGAGGAAGACCTCCAAAACCCAAGCGGGAGTATCGCGTCAGATTCAGGCATCATACGGATCCGAAGGAAGATCGGTGGTTCACCAGAGAGGAACTGATTGACACAGCTCCTCAAGTGATGGCAGAATATGAGAGAATGTTAAAAGGGAAGGCACCTGCGAAGTAAGCATCTCAGCGGACTTTCGAAGCTAAGGGGGATGGAATGTGAGGATTGAGTCCTCAAGAAGGGGCCTTGCCATGATGTACATGTTCAGCAAGCCTCGTGCCCGCCCTAAGTGAAGGCGGGCCAGCAAATCAACAAGAGCCCTCTGTGCAAACATTTCACGAAGTGGGGTCCATATAGTTGCAGCACGCCAATTGGTTGGAGTGCACCGGGTATCGGAGCTCTGCAAATGCAGAAATCCCAGGGCCCCAGAGTTGGTTAGGCCCTGGGCACATAAACGTGAGGCCGACAATGCATGCTGGATATAGAGGCCGGAAATGCTTATGGGAAACCGGTCCACTATCTGAATCTGGCCGCAGGCCTTGATGAAAGAGGCGCAACTGCATCTCCTGGGCCCCAACCACATTGGGCCTGGGTACAGGTATTGGGGCCCAGGCGCAGGCTCAAGGGAGGCCGCCCACACGCAACACTGGCATATAGGCAGGGAGGGCGAGTGGGCAAGGATCTTGGCCATTGCGAGCAATGCGGGCACGCTGCGCGTTTGTGAGGTGCTGAGCTGCACTAGGCTGAGGTAGAGGCAGGCTAGCGCTAAGCGGTAGAGCGCTGCATGGGCGCAGGGCGCTGGTGGCCATAGCCGGGCTGCCTGTGGGCGCAGAGGAGGAAGGGCGAAGGTGGTTCTTCGGAGGTGAAGGGTGTTGTGTGGGATAACAAGGGAGAGTGAGGGAGAAGAGAGAGACGTACGTGGTGGAGGGAGGAGGTCGGCATTGGTGTTGACATCATCACTCGCTGGTCGTCAAGTTGTCTGGTTGCTTCCATGCTGTAGTAGTAGTGATAGGCTGTAGAGTAGGTAGGGCGCCTGGCGCTATTCAAGAGAGAGAGCTACATTGGGTTATGCTGTTGGTGTTGCCCGATTGGGCTTGGACATTGACTCACGATTCTTCTGTATCGTTCTCAAATGGATGGTTACTCGGTTCCATTGTGCTATCTGCTCTTGCTTTGACTACTTGGACTTCAGTGTGATTTTGCAATCTGGATTTCTGTGCTTCATCCACATTCATGTTCCTTGCATTTGTTATCAATCATTAATTAAATTTTTATTGATTATTAATTCATTATTATTTCTTATTACGAATTTTTAAGTTGTTTTGGGGAAAGTTTATCTTTTTCCTTTTTGATTAGGTGTCTAAGTCCATAATTGGGACAGGGACTGTAGGCGAATTGCTTGATCTGTTCTACCCCTGTGCCCACCCTCTCCCTCTTACTGTTTTGCGACCTTTTCGGAACGGCCAGCCTTCAGCAACAGTTTCCTGATGCCAACAGGGCAAGCCACCGAACCGCAGCTACGACGCAGCAGACGGGTCGCATATCTCCAACAGCAACCTGCAGTTCGACAGCAGCCACAGACCAGCACACAGATGGCGGCCACGCCTAACAGCAGAACATCATCTGAGACGTCGACATCTAGTAATGACGAACCCTTGCCGATCTGTCCTGTTCAAGGGCCGAACGAGTCCATCACGGACTACATTCAGAGAGTTAAGACCGATACGGACTCGATAACCTTTGCCAAGGAATGGCAAGATGCTGCCGAAGTAGACAAACAGCGGCTGGTAGCAGAAGCTGCAGCCCAAGCCCAGCGACAAGCTGAGGCGGAGCAGTTAGCGACCGACAAGCTCAACGCCGACAGTGCCGAACTTCTGATCTCTCAACAAGATTAGTGGGCAGCTGTACCCAACGGGATGCGTTATGTCCCCGTAGCAGGCGCAGAGCCAACGACAGTACTGCAGGAGAGACAAAACCTGCCAGACATTCTACTAAGCACAATTCGCGCAGTTATCAGGAACGCTTGCAGCAGCCATCAAGATCGCGGACTCCCAGCTGCAACAGATGGACACCCGCATTGCTGCTTTGGAGGCAAGGCCTTCTCAAGCAGTGCCAGGCTGCACGACAGACACGGTGAAACAGCTCGGCGAGCGCATCGACCATGTAGTCAATCTAATCGGCGAACTAGGTGATTTCACTAGTCCGGCCACGATCAGCAGTACGGTGGCCGCCATCAAGACGGACATCACCAAACTGCAGACAAGACCGGACGCCGCTACAAGGACATACAAGATGCCGCACTTCAACATCAACAAGTTTGACGACTACAACAAGACGGACGCCTTGACATGGTGGCAAAGCTTCCTCACGGAAGCATCCTGCCGCACTGTCCCGGCTGAAGACATGATGAAGGCGCTCTACCTCCAACTGATTGGAGGAGCACAGACATGGATGAACCATCTTGCGGCCACAAAGAAACGCACCATCGCCAAACTCCACACACACATTCCGTGGAAGGAGTTCGAGCAACTGTGGTTCACTCGATTCATGGTCCGCAACGTTGTAAAGGCGGCCATGAACGAGGTCTACACCAGCCCACAAGGAAGCATGCCAACTCGAGACTGGACGATCAAGTGGTAGAAGATAGTGACCACGCCAGGTTTCGATTTGAGTTTTCCAAATCAACGATCCGAGTTCTTCTCGCGATCGTGCGCAGGACTGCGAATGGCACTCGACAACGAGTACGATTATGCCTCATTCCAGGCTATTCTGGATCGTGCGAACCTGGTCATCCAAACGGATGACAAGGCCGCTAACGAACGGTAGTCCCAGCCGCACTATGTGGCTAAGCAGGGCTATCAACGACCGTCATATAACAATGTCGTGATTTCTGATGAATCAGTCGATCTCCACGCTGCAGCAGCCTCCTTGAGTGATAGAGGAACTGTCGCAGCGCTCCTGCCGAAGCGTCCCAAGAGAGTTCGAAAGAAACCGGTGACACAAGCAACGACAGCGACGGGAACTGGGCAGCAACCATGGACGACATACAACACAACCAAGGAGGTATTTGACTTGCGTCAACGGTACAGATATTGCCTATGGTGCAATAGTGTAACCCACACTACCGCACAATTCCCGGACAACGGCAAGGCACGCGTACCCCGTCCAGCTAACTCGGAAAACTGAGTTACGCAAGGAGAGGGGCGACGCCTCTCCTCATTCCGCCGGAACCGGTTGCTTTGCTAGCAACCGATGTCACTACCGGGGAGCATGCATTACGAGGATGATGCCGCCCAACTGGTACCACCATTAGACCAGCCTAGCCACATGCACTTAGATAGCGTATGCGCAACCTGTACACCGTCGGCAAGTGATCCGGTCAGCTCGCCACTGATTTCCGAGGACTCGACGACGTGGTCAAGACTTGAGGAGCTTGACCCGCTCACGAGAGAGGACTTCGCTTGGATGGCCTCTTCCCTCAACCGGAACCTTGCCAAGGCCGCATTGCAACGCCTTGATGGCAAATCTACGCTCCTATTTGCACACTGCAATACCAGCTCCATTGACGGACCACGAAGTAGCGGTTGTCGATCTTCGCTCCTATCTTGCGAAGATTGACCGCGAGTATGCCACCCAAAGGTACGTCGAGACCGACGCGCCTTTGCTCTATATCCGCATTCAAATCGGAAAGGCAACTTGCAGTGCCTTGATTGATTGCGGAGCATCTCGCAATTTCATGAGCCAAGCCTTTATGGCCCGCGCAGGCCTTGGCCCGCGCATTCGAAGGAAGATGCAACCTACGCAAGTTACACTCGCGGACGGCCGCACGCAAAAGTCAATCGACCGATGCGTTGACGGCGTCCCGGTATACTTTGCGCCACTTACGTGCGCGTCGGTGTCTTTTGACATCCTCGATACCAAGTTCGACATGATTCTAGGCATGTCTTGGTTGCGTAGCGCCGATCATCCGGTGAACTTTCATGACCGAACCGTTCACATCCGTGATCGGAACGGAGTGTTCGTCCCGTGTACGGTCGCGACCCCTCACGCTTCGATTGCTTGTCACGTGGTTTCCGTTGCGAGAATTCGCGACGCCATAGCTCGGAATGACGTCGAGGAGATGGGCATGGTATTTTTGCATGCTCTCCCCTCGTCGGACGAACCAGCCGCGTCACCGCCGGACCCACCGGAACGGCTCCGGATCGGCCCATACGTCACGGGATCACTCTCGAGGCTGGCGTCGTCCCTCCGCGTGGATGCATTTACCGCATGAGCGAAGAGGAACTCGAGGTGCTTCGTGCACAACTCTACGACCTCCTTGACAAGGGTTGGATTCGCCCTAGTTGTTCGCCTTACGGTGCCCCTGTTCTCTTCGTCCGGAAGAAGAACAAAGATCTACGGTTATGCATCGATTATAGAAAACTTAACGCACAAACCGTAAAGAACGCCGGCCCTCTCCCTCGGATCGATGATCTCCTTGAGCGGTTGGGCGGCGCGACGTACTTCTCGAAGTTGGACTTGAAGTCGGGTTACCACCAGATTGAAATCCAGCCTCAAGATCGGTACAAAACCGCGTTCAAAACGCAGTATGGGCACTTTGAGTGGGTTGTCATCCCATTTGGCCTCACCAATGCGCGCGCGACTTTCCAAGCAACTATGACGACTGAGTTTCGCGACTTGCTCGATCGCAGCGTCCTCATCTACCTCGATGACATCTTGGTTTATAGTAGGACATTGGACGAGCACATCGTACACCTTCGCGCTGTTTTGGATCGTTTGCGACTGGCCAAGTACAAAGCGAATCGCGACAAGTGCGAGTTCGCTAAGAAGGAGCTTGAGTACTTGGGTCACTATGCCACGCCGAAAGGCATTCGTCCCTTAGCGGACAAGATCCAAGCCATCATGGATTGGTCGGAACCCCGTTGCACGACGGATGTACGCTCTTTCATGGGTTTGGCTGGATATTATCAGCGATTCGTCGAGTCATACTTGAAAGTGGCCGCTCCCTTGTCGAGACTTCAGTCCCCGAAGGTGCCCTTGGAGTTCGACGACGCAGCCCGTGGCGCGTTCAATACATTGAAGGCAGCAATGCAAGCCGCACCTGCCCTCCGTATATACGACCCCACCCTTCCCATGTGACTACGGACGCTTCGGGATACGGTATTGGTGCGGTGTTGGAACAGTGTCACGCGGACGGTTGGCACTCGGTCGAGTATTTCTCCCAAAAGGTGCCTCTCGTCAACACTCTGGATGATGCTAGAAAGAAAGAGCTACTCGCGTTCGTCACCGTTCTCAAACGGTGGCGCCACCTTCTTCTCGGTCGTCGGCGTTTTAAATGGAATACGGACAACAATCCGTTGACCTTTTATAAAACGCAGGATACGGTCACTAGCACGATCGGTCGATGGATGTATTACATCGACCAGTTCGACTTTGACCCGTGCCACATTCCCGGTCCCGCCAATCGAGCTGCGGACGCCCTCTCACGACGGCCCGATTTTTGTGCCATTGTGACCACGACATTCGACCTCGATGACGATCTGCAGCMGCATTTCGTCAAAGGCTACAAGTCCGATCCGACTTACTCTACGCTTTACGCAGAGCTTTCATCGGATCACTCGTCGGCTAGCCATTATTGGATTTCCTTCACGACGTCACGAGGTACATTGAGTCATGTGCAGTTTGCCACCGTAACAAGGGTCGATCTCGAGTCCCCTTTAGCGAACTGAAACCGTTGCCGATTCCTCGGGCATCGCGCCTCTCCATTGCTATGGACGTTACAGGCCCGTTCCCCCGCGATCGCCTCGGCCATGACGGTATTCTCACGGTCGTTCACCGTTTGAGCATTTATGCTCGTTTTCTTCCTTGCAAGTATCATGCTGCAGCGCCTGAGCTCGCACGACTCTTGCACACCGGTTGGATTACCAACCAGGGTGTTCCGGAAGACATAGTGAGCGACCGAGATACTCGCTTCATGTCGGCCTTTTGGACTTCCCTTATGGCTGAGTCCGGTACGACAATGAAGCCGAGCTCGGCTCGGCACCCACAGACGGATGGCCAGACGGAGCGAGCACACCAGACCGCTCAGATGATGTTGCGTACGCTCCGTCCCGACCAGAAAGATTGGGTTGACTGGCTTCCCGACATTGAGTTCGCCTATAACACCTCGGTGCACCCGAGGATCTGCGTCACACCATTCGAGTTACATCATGGTGGAGAGAAAGCACGGATCTTCGCTGATCTCCTTCTACCACAGGCCGCCGACATAGACGTCCCTTGCTCTCCCGCTTCTGTCCGGAAGTACCGGGACTTGCTGATCAAAGCCCGCGCAAATATGCAAAAAGCTCAAATCCGCATGCAGCAGCAAGCTAACCGACGTCGACTCCCATGTCCTTTCCGTGAGGGAGACCTTGTTTGGGTCCTCTCCGAGGAATTTGCGCTCGAGCAGGACGTTTCGCACAAACTCCTTCCGAAATGGTTCGGACCATGGGAAATTACTTCGGCCGTTGGAGACGACCCCGCAGGTCCTTCCATTGTGGTCAACATTCCACCGCACCTTCCAGTGCACCGGGTCTTCCACGCGTCGAAGCTGGCCATCTATACGCCACCTTCTGCTGACGAGTTTCCGGGCCGACGATCACAGGATCCGCCTTCTATGGACGGACATTAGGAAGTCGACCGCGTCATCACGCACTGCAAGTATGGCAACAAGCCAATGCAGTTTAAAGTCACATTCAAGCAATGTGCGCCTAACGACACCCGGTGGATCTCTCGTGCAGACTTGCAGACTTCTGCACCCCTTATCTTCGCCAACTATGACAAGCGACGACTTGCCAAGGAAGCAGCTCATCCCGCCCGACCCACCCCTGAATAGACAACTCCGCCCTCGCAGGCAGCTCGGTCTTTTAAGAGGGGGAGTGTGTTACACATTGTGTCACACCGGCCTGGGTAGGCCCGACAGATTGGGGTCCAGGGGCCGGTCCAGGCCCAAGGCCGGACCTTTACCACGGCGGAGCCATTCTAGGCCGCCGATTGGCCCTTTTAGGCCACTTACGGACCAGACCCGACGGACAGGCCCAAACGACATTACCGTTTGGGCCTGGCGGCGCTCTTGAGGCTGCCGCCCGCAGGTCTGATCTGAACCGTCGATCTGGACGATTCAGATCACGGCCCGGCCTCGCAGCATTGAGGCCGGCCTCTTTTCCACCGGTACTTAATACCGGTCCAGCCTCATTGTGAGGCATCGAACAACTGTACGCTGTGGTAGCGCCAGTTCGTTTCGGTTACAGCGGAGCAGTAACGCTGCGCTATTCTCAGCGCAAGCTCGGAGGTGCCGCAGCAGCGCAGCTAGCGCAGCAGCAGCAGCGAGCGAGGAGCCAGGCAGAGGGCAGCCATAGCCGAGTTCGGCTTCAGTCAGTTGCAGCGAGCCAGGTACTCGGGGGTGAGATCTTCTCCTCCCTCCACGGTCACGGGCTCCCCTCCTCCTCACCTCTCTCCTCCTCTGTTCTCTTCTTCTTCTTCTTCTTCTTCTTCTTCTTCTTCTTCTTCTTCAGATTGGAGACTTGATACTAGTTGGACAGAGATCAGTGTTGGACTTCGGTGGTAAGAGGCTGTGGTACTTACCGGATTGGAGACTTGGAGATTGTTGGGGTTGATACTCGGCGGCATCACAGATTGGACACCGTTTACATTAGGACTC